CAACTGCAGAGGGGGTGACCCAGCACAAGAAAACAGGAAAACTAACACGCCTTGCCTGGCCATTTACTTACAAGTTTGAAATAGGAGAGACTTGTTTAGAAAGATGTGGAGAACCTGGATTGATGTCTGGTCCCTCTCAGTCCCGAGGGCGAACACACTCCCCAACAAAGAACACAAACAAAAGCCTTCCCCCCCCAAGATTTGAAAGTATCTTGTCCCCTTATTGGTCCTTTAGGTCAGATGCCAGCCAGGTTACCTGAGCTTCTTAACCCTTTACAGGGAAAAGGATTTTGGAGTCTCTGGCCAGGAGGGATTTTATAGTACTGTACACAGGACAGCTGTTACCCTTCCCTTTATAGTTATGACAACAGGCATGAGAAGAGACATCAAACAGTTCATTATTATCTCAGAAAAGGTTCAGTGCATCTCCAGAAAAAAGCACCCGTGGAATGTCAAGGCTGAAAAAATGATACTTTGTAAAACTCAGATTCAGTATATTCTCAGACCTTCCAGTTCTCTACACCTGAGAAGACACAGAAAACAGCTGTTGGAATCTGGGAGAGGGATCCTGACCTGAAGAGTTTGGTCAGTAACACCGCTGGAAGCATGTGGTGAGAAACTTTGCTCCAATCTAATATAGTTTGATAAGTTAAAACACTTTCTAGCGCCTATCTTTATTTTTCTTGTAACGATTTCCTGCCCCCACTCCACCCCTTCCTGCCCCCTCCCCTGAGCCACCGTGCCCTCACTCCTCCTCCTCCCCCCCAGAGCCACCTGCATGTCATGAAACAGCTGATCGGGTGGGTGCGGGGAGGGAGGGGGAGGCACTGATCAGAGGTACTGCCGGTGGGTGGGAGGCACTGGGAGCTGATGAGGGGCTGCTGATGTATTACTGTGGCTCTTTGGCAATGTACATTGGTAAATTCTGGCTCCTTCTCAGGCTCAGGTTGGCCACCCCTGCTTTAAAGGACTAATGGACTTAATATAATATAATTGGACTTCCCAGGTTCAGGCTGGGCTATACAGGACATACATTTCTGGGGGGAAATCTGGGACTGGGAGTGTGATGGGGTCACCCTGCAGTACAACCATGGCTGATGAGAGCTGGGGTATGACTGGCAGCCTGCAATTCCACAAACACATGCGTGACCAGCATGCTGGTGGCTGTTTGTGAGCAGTCCAGGTTGGAGGCTACAGCAGCAAGGCATTGCAAGGCACCCCGGGTTACAGGGCAGGGGTAACACAAACCCCAACTGGTCTGGATTGTACCCCAGTATGTCACAAGGAAGTTGGGGGGGTGGGTGGGAGTTGCTGTGGTTTACTTCCTAGACTTTCTTAGTCCTTTCAAGCATTCCACATTCTGGAGGACACCAAAATCCTGGAGGTTCCTGAATGGCAAAAGGACATTCTATTCCAAGGTATCGGTGACAAGCCAGCCGTGTCTGTCACAGAGGTTTTCAAGCTTATGGTGACTTAGCAACACATCTATGAGTGGAGTTGGCTGGTGTTCTATAGAGGAAGGCCCGGGAAATACACCCTTCCCCGAAATGTGACTACTTATCTGGAGTTCCTCCTATGGGAAAAGTTTGCAACCATCAGCACCTGGGAGTGGGTCAAAATTCATGAGGGAATCAACAGGAGGCTGGGTTAGGTTAGTGTCCGCATGGATTACTGCCTTCCTATGGCTTATGATACACCCTGCTCTGAGTACATCTACCCCCCACCCCTTTCCCTGGACTGTCTACAAACTCCCTGCCATATTTT